AAAAACTCTTTGGGGAATCTGTATGCTGTTACAACAACAACAACAACAACAACAGCTGTGATAACACCCATCCTCTTCTACTGGGTCACCTGCCTTAAACAAGACTTTGTCCAGAGCCAATGTGAAACGGATACATGCATGAGATAACTACGCACTGCACCCACCAAATCTTTGGAAATAATTTTAAATCTTCCACAGTTGGATCGCTACGACAAATTTTGGGCCAGCTGTAGTGTGACCAGGTGGAATACGATTCAGCTGTGGAGATACCTCAGATTCAGGCATGCAAAGGTCCTTGAAACTCTACTGGATCATCTACGACAATTAGATTATACCACTTCTCTACTCTATTTAAGCAACAAATTCTCCATAAGAATCCCCGAGGCGAAACGAATGGGAATGTGCCACAGACCTAAACCTAGTATCGACGGCTATATATACAGTTGATTTGAAGCTTAACGAAAGAGTGCATAGCGGGATTTATTCTGATGAACTCGCACTAAACCTCTGTTTCCGCTTGCCGAACTGCTCGGCGGCTCATAGCTTCCGCCCCTTCAGAACGGCCTACTACTCTACATATATCTTCTGATAGCCAAGCTGATAGAAAAACTCTAAAATCTAACGGGAAATTTGCTCAAGATGGGGCATACCGTTAACCTCCTGCAAACACATACTAAAAGCTGAACTCATCGAGGAAGTGGCTGTGGAGACCAGCCGCCATACTACCACGCAAGTTTGGTCAGAAATTTATGTTAGGCAGTTCATAGCCCTCACTCGGCTTGACCGCTCTTCCCCCATACAAATAGTCGTCGCACGGAAAAACAAATTGAAATTGAAAAAATTGAAACTATGTACCATGTGTACATGCACATACATGCATACATATGTACTTTCTTGAAAGTCGGCTCATCACTCGTCAAATGGAGCACGCCCAATCAATAGCGAAAGCCATTATTGAAATTAAATTGGCACTCAAACTGTACGACTCTTTCTAGCCATCAGCCACACTGATCATGAGCATATTTACATACTCTACATACATATGTAGCTTGTAGTCATAAATAAAATTTGTGTGCTTTCGTACAGCGCTACGGAACTAAAAACACACGTCCACGCAATTGAAAGGGTCGTTAAAATTTTGTTGCCCTAATGTTGGCGGTCCAAGATGTTCAATTTGTGAAGAAACGTTTTTAGGATATATGTATATGTATGTATGTAGATATGTCACTATAACATTAAAACAGAAATTTGACCATTTATGTTGACCGCTATTGCGTATACGCAACGTACATACATGTGATGGGTTTTCATTACGGTTGTTAATTTTTCAGCTTTTTCCGATCCCGGGTACCATGGTAATACATAAGTAAGACCTCCTTATAAAAAAGAGAATAGAAGGACAGAAGAGGCAGCAGTAATCGAATCTAGAATACTTAAGAAAAAACAGCTGATTCCCAACGAAAATGAAGAAGAACAATTTAACTCTATTAAGCGAAAAATGTGAAAAATTGCTTGATAAAGTATAAAAGTTCTGACACTTCTTTGAGAAAAATATTTTTTTGTATATCACAACAAAAAAAAAAATCAATGCGGTGGCGAAGATGCAAACAAGGAAGAGGCATTTTAGCCATATTTGGCTGTTTTTTTTTTGTTTATAAAATCTTATTAACTTTTCTTTTGCAATTATAGCTTGTCTACTATCTAACAAGAACATGTAAATCAAAAATGTCGAACTTTGTAGAATTGTAAAAATTAAACGAATTTTAACAAATGTTCATCAAGATTTGAAACTTTTAATATGATTTTTTTTTTAGCTCAATCTTCTTCCTCTTTGTCCTCTCAAACCGCTTATTGAGGGAGCCAACATATTTAACTAATTTATTGCCAGCAACTTCCAGTCCTAAAATATTCGGCAATTCGAGGCCAACAGTAATGTGTGCAAAATCTCAATTATCTTTGAATATATTTGTCAGGTGCCAAATGCACTTACAGATTTTTATTGGCCATAAAAATAAATGCGTTATTTAGTTGTACTGCATATACTATGTACATATGTATTATTTTTACGTGTATAGATATGTAAATACATATACATACATACTTATATGAATATAAAATAATTTTTCGTGACACTCAATACACATTACCTCCCGCCCACTATGGCTTCCGAAAACCAACATATTTACATACGATGTGGTACTTATGTAAATAAATAAATAAAATAAAATAATTGTTGTTGACCATAATTATGGTCATGTTAATGGGTAATTAACACTTATCGTGTTGCAAACAGAAATATGCGCGGATATACATGCATACCATACATACATATCTATGTATGTAAATAGTGTCATGCGCCCAATTGGAAACACTTTTCAATGGGGGGGAGTGTGTGTAATAGTCTTCAAAATACATACATACCTTGAACATGTCACGCTCGAAAATAACCGATGACTAATCTTGTATATGTATAATAATTAGGTAAAAAGAAAATAAAGTCGGAATTTTAATGCTTTCCCCCTAGGATTGCTCTATACCAAAAAAAAACGTATACCCCTGTTTTTTTATTTATTTTGTAAATCAAAAAATATTTAAAGGTCGCTCTAAGCGCTCAAAGTTGTATTTTTATTTTATATGGGGAAAAGGCAAGTTTTCATAGAAATGGTATAAAATTCTTGAAAATCAATATTTTTCGTATTTTTTCGATCGAAAAGCTTTGTCCCTCTTCAGGAGTCTTCCATACACAATACCCAATTTTTAATTTAACCATTTTAAGTATTATTTAGTTTTTATAGCAACCCAAAACCTCAAAAAATGCAACGGGAGTGCTTATAAAAAATCGTTGGTATTAAGAATTGGTATAATAAACAATTGGATATTATTACTGGCAGTTTTCCAATCGAAAAATATTGGTTTTCAAGAATTCTATACAATTTCCAGGAAAACTTTTTTTTTCTCAAATACATAAAAAACAGGGGTATACGTTTTACGGTATAGAACAATCATAGGGGGTGAGAGCATTAAAATTCTGACTTTACTTTTCACATGCAATTTTGGACCACCCTAATAAACATTCTTAACAGGTACTTAATCTAAATATTGAACTGGCATTATTGTAAGAGAGTTTCCAGCAGGGTATGCATGTATGTACATACATATACCATAAATAAGAGAAGCAAAATGTAATTAAACAAATATTTGGAATAAACAAGTGAAAATCGTGACATATTTTGCTGCGTTTTTCTCGCTTAATTACTAAATATTTGTTTCGGAAAATCGTGTTTTACTATGCTCTACGTTTTTTGTATCTTCTTAATATATGTAGATATCGAATGCTGAGCAACGAACAAGATTTGGTCGCCTTAACATAAAAAGGCCCTGTCTAACAGAGTTGTTTGAAAACTAAAGTTATTCAGTTATTGGTTTACGTTACTAATTTAATGATTCTGAAATTGTATGTCAATGCTATTAGAATTTTAGTGAGTAATCTACCGACTTTTGAATTAATCTGGATTTTCTGTGGAAATTAGTGAGGGACCTTCTGTATTAACCCTGCAAACCATACTTTCGGAATAATCTGACTAGTAGAGAAATCTTAACGAATTCGTTAAGAAATCACTATTTCCTTTTGCTATTTTTCCGAATTCCTAAAATAAAATGGAAGTGCTGTGCACCCTTGGATTCTTTTACGAAATTTCAGAAGAATTAGTGACAAATAAAATGAAGATCGAAACTTTATATATTATTACAAATATGTAATGTTGAACAAAGTAAATAACAAACAAGTAAACAAATTAAAAAAAAAAAAAATACTTACAAGTTAGTTGACATCTAATGCAGAGTTAACCAACCTTGACTATTTCACGTAGGTACGCGAAGAAAATTGAGAACGACTGCTCCAGAAATAATGACGAATGTCATACAAAGTAGTCAATTTATAACCAAAAAGAAACAATTTAGTGAACTAAAGACTTTTGTTATTTCGAGCAAGAATTTTTTTTTTCAAGCCAAAAATAAAATGCGAAATTTATCAGAAACTTTTTTAACAGTAATTAGTCGGACATTTTTTGGTTTTATATCTTATTCGTTTTGCATTGATGAACTGCAAGTTTGAGCTAAGAGTTAATTTAGGAAATTAAAGCTCAACTTTTATTAAAAAAACGCTCGCGATTTCCTACAGGCATGCCACGCGCATACCTTTTCACATTTTATAACAGCAAACACTTGCTTGAGCTTTGCTCAAATTTGTAGCATAACTTTAGGCTAGAAATTACATAGCGCAGTAAATTTAATACATTTTTTCTTTTAACAAGAATGTGCCCAGCCAACCAGCACATACTGTCGTCCTCAAAAAAAACTTAGCTGCCCAAAATTAATGTTTGAATTTGCCCAAAAAATATTTTCACCTTTTGTGATAGAACAGAGAAGTGAACGTAAATGCAATTCGCTCAAAGCAACGCACAGTGGTTTAAAACTGGGATTTAATGTTCATAATTCACTGGAGCCTTCATTTTTCAACTAATTTGATAATTTTTTTTAACGAAATCTTATAAAATTAGAAAGAGACCAGTTGAGTCCCATTTTTGAATTTTTATATGTTTATATTAAATAAAAATAGCCATTTTGGAAAAAAAAATCGATTCTCCTGTGTGAGTTAATAAATTTTATATAATAAAGACTAGTTGAAAACAATTCTTGGGTTCCCCCAAAACGTAAAAAAATCGCAAAAAAAATTTAAATGTTTAAAAAATAAAAGTTCACTTAAATTAATTTTTTTTATGAGTTTTTAGAAAAATTTTGGGTATGCAGTTTTATAGATCATTTCAGTATAATAAAGTACAAATTGCAAGTTTCTAAGATTTTGCGTTGATTTTTAATAATTTTTGTCGCTAACTTTTCGAGCACAACTGCATACTGCATAGCACAACTGTTAATTACCAACATAAATATGTAATAATTACCAACACAAGCATTTTTTGCAGTAGAAAAAATAATACCAATTTACAGAATAACAAAATTCAGCCTTTATTAAATTCTTCTTAAAAGGTTAAGAAACGTGGTTGAGAATAGTTTCGTAACTATCAAACTATGGTACATTAAAACTAAAAAAATTTAAAAAAATGTATCTCCCAATTACAGCTTTTATTCAAAGCAAAAACTTATGCCATTTCGCGCGTTTCGCTGTCCAAATTGTAAAGAGTAAGAATGCCAGAGTGCCCCAAACGGAGCTGTTACAATTTGTTCCATCACCGATTTGCTCCAAAATCCACTTGGCGTGATGGGCGACATCAACGAAAACGACTGGTTGTGAAATCTTTTTGCAATCGACGCTTTGTGTTGAGGTAAGCGCCAGCAGCTGATTGTTGTGGATCAAAGGTGAACCGGCGTCTTGCTCACAAGCGGCTTCTTGTTGCCCATATTTATATCCAATACACACCGTATCCGGTCCATAGAGGGGGCCATACTTTTCCACACATTGTTCATCACTCAGTTGTGAGGCATTGAGCGACATGAGCTGAGTGTAAGGAACGCGCTGCAAACAAGGAAAAACTATTAGTTTTTGGTAAAATAAAGATTAGTCATGCGGTCACGCACACAAACATAGACACATATCAAAGCAATTAATGCAAAATGCCTTTTTCAACCCTAATGCCAGTTAGTTAAAGCTCAAGAAAACTAATGGAATATTAAAAACCACTGTTTTGGTTTTGTATGTACATTAGACTGTACCACCTTACAAACAACACACAAAAAGTTTCGCTGTACACCCCTGAGTTCAAAGTATTTTTGCAAGGCAATTTCGAAGTATATACATTTTTTTTTTTTATGAGCCTAGTGGTCGAATTTTTATGGACAACAAACAAAAATATTCGAATTTTCAATCAGATATTGGAATACAATTCGAATATACGGTTATTCAAAAAAACCGGATCGAACTCTAAGCCCTAGCGAAAATATTTTAGAGTCAGGGGTGTACTATAGCAAACTTTTTGGCCCTCATGCATAAAAAGAGAGCTTAAGCTAACCAGGTAATTCTAGCAAGTGTCTTATAACTCACCACAGTCATTGTCAATTCTGGCAACTATGTCTTTGAAAAGACTAATTGAAAGATATGAAGTGTACATAATCGTGTTCGACTTGTTGCTAAAAAGTTTATTTTTAAATTAAATTAATTTAAAAAAATATTTACATGAATTTTTCTTTTTAAAGCAAGAAAAACTAATAAATGGAAGACAATTTAATTAAAAAGGAAAAATAGTAAAATTAAATTAAAAATAAAGCAAATAAATAAACATATATTTTTTTAATAAAATAATATTAAAAAATAGATTTTTCTTTCTAAAACAATAACATCTAACAATTAAAAAAAAAAATTAGAAAAATAAAATAAAAATTAAAAAAAAATCACACTTAAAAATTAATTGAAATTATAGAAAACTATTTTTTTTTAACAAAAAATTAAAACAAAAGAAAATTTAAAAGTACAAAAAAAAATAAAGTATAATCCTAAAAGTGAAATGAAACAAAAAAAATTCTTTTTAAATTATAAAATCTAAAACAAAAAGGAAAAAAGGGGAAAACACAGAAAATATTTAACTAAAAAGTAAAAAAAACACAAAATTACATTAAGTACGCGTCTAAAAATTAAAAACAATAAACTCTTAAAAAAATGTAAAAAAATAGTTTCTTAAAATCAATGGAATTAAATAAATATATTTCTATTTGTAAGAAAATTAAACCTAATAATTAATATATAATTAAATTAAAAGAAAAATATGTATAGTGAAAAAAATTCGCTGCACGAAGTTTCTAACCCGGATCTCTAAAAAGACACACCAGAATTGCCCTGTAAGACTAAATTTTTGTACTGATCGAATGATCTCAAGCCCAAGAATTTGTACTGAAAATCGAGTTGGAGCTTAAGCTCACTTTTTATGCATCTTATGTTGTATAATGTAATGTTATATTATGTTAAGTTATGTTACGTCATGTTATGTTATGTTCTCTTATGTTATCTATATTGTTTCTGTACTATGATATGCTATGCTATTTAATGTTATTTTATGTTATGTTAATCTATGTTATGTTCTACAATGCTTACTGAGCTCACCTGCTCTGTAGCAAACCAGCTGGTCACCTCAAACGTCTGCCGCTCAACTGAATCGCTTAGCATTTCTGGCGCCTCGCCGCTGCGGAATGTCTTCGAACTCAAAGCAATCGGTTTTACAGTGGGATGTGCGGGTGGAATATCACGTTCCAGCATTATAATCGCTATGTTATCGCGTAAAGTGCGTGCGCTGAATGTCTTCGGTTGATGTACGTGTGTCACACCGTAAACCAGCGTGTGCTCGGTGCGTTGATAACGATTCAATGTACCCATAACAACTTTCAGCTCAGCCGGGTGACGCGATGTCTGCGTGCGGTAACTACATACATACATACATACATAAATATTTATAAACAAACGCATATGTAGATAAATATTGAAATATACGATTCTATAGTAATATTAGTAAGCCAAAGTGATTGATAAGATTAAACTGTTTATGTTTTTTTTATGATACAAGTATTTATGTACATATGTATGTTGCGTGCATGCGCTTGCAGCGTGAACTTACTTGTGTACACACTGTCCGACGGTGAGTACTACAGAGGGGGCAATTACAGCGCCTCCGCATATGTGGCCCTCTCCGAAAATGTAGTCTTCCAATGCTAAGCGTATGGAGGCCTGATAGCGCGCATGCTCCAACGATGCCTCACTGCCATTTATGCTGCTGGCATAGTTATTGAAAGGCTGTTCGGCGGCATTGGATTGTGTGAAGCCTGAAAAAGAGAAAAATATATATTTTATTTACTTATTATCCTAATTCGTATTTCATAAAAATTGGTGTATTTTTGCTTCATCTTTTTCATAATCCATTTCATACAAGCTTCTAGTCTAGCGCATTGTCGGCACGTAATCAGCGTTAAAGTAAAAAAAAAGTATGCAGTTATTGCTAACAACCGGCACGTGTTTGACTTTAGATAAGGAGATTAACACTTTTTCTTCACACGGCATTAATTACGGGATATGTAGTTTTGTATTATAAATCCACACTGTTATCGATTTGAAAAATTTCCGAAATTTATAATAGTGATAATAAGCGTAAATTAATTATGAAATGATAAAATTGAAATTTTGCTCAAGTTGCTATGCAATAGGTTCTTCCGATATTCATATATATGTATAGGTATATCCACACAAATATAAGTAGGTTTATTATTGCTAATCTTCCATAATTTCAATTTGCAAAATATTTACATTGATTTCAATATTTAAGTGCTTGAGTGTCTATTAAAATATTTCAATTATTTTATAACGCAAAGCTGTTAAAATATTCATACTATGAAGAGCGATCATTCCCTTTTCTGTAACTACTTCATCACATAAAAAAAAAAATATTGTAAACGGCGAAATTTCTTACCTGTTGAAAAAACTGGTCTTGTAGATATTTGATATAGAAAAAAAGTATACCTATTAATTTTTATTATTAAGGGATTTGTATGAAATAAAAATACCTACATAAAAGGTACAAAGGTATGTAATATTTTTATATTCGAAAAGGCTATTCAGTTGTTATTAAATTTTATAGTACTAGTCGTTTGCAAATGTGTAGCTATTTTTATGCCGCATCTGTTGAGAAACATATTTAAATATTTTTATACTAATGTTGCGGAATTTTCCGCACATTGGGCCTTGGTAAACTTGATGAACTTTGTAACTGCCATCTAAGTATTTGTATAATCATCACACATTCTTTAACTAAAAAATTGATGAAATGTTCGCATTGCATTGATAAGAATTCCGAGCATATACATACCTACATACGTGCACCGTACATACATATGCAAGTAGGTACGTATGAACATTAAGATTGGTCGCAAAGAAAATTTGTCATTTACCAGGATTTAAATTTTTTCCTTTTTTGACCGGAAAACAGCAACCAAGGATTTTTTCAAAAAGTTTTAAATACATCTTAAATTTCTTAGAAAGAAAATCATTACATGCCGGTTTCAGGGTATTTTTTTTTTCAGTAAGACCATCAAAATAAAATATTAAATTTTTTATCCAGTATACATATGTACATGTGTATAATATTTTTTTTTATTTTTTTTTTAATTTCAAATGTGTTTTTCGACCATGGAAATTGATTCCTTGACCCAAGTACAGTAAAAACATGTGTTTTGAACTTTTTAAAAATTTCATTGTTATCGTTTTGATTTCATAAAATAAAATAGAATTAAACTCCTATATTTGAAAATAAATTTAAAGGCCAAGTAACATTTTCTTAGCCAAAGAAACTATGTCTCCTGAATTCTTCATCTCAAAATATTACAAAAAAAACTGGTTAAGTTTATGTCGCTAGGCATTCTCGTTCTCAAGATATTAGATTTTGGCACAAAAAAAAAGTGCATTTTCCGCACTGTGCGACGTGTAGTGCGGATGCCATGTTAAAGAGCGATCTTGTTTTCAAAGCGGTGTTTTATTTCTCAAATCGGTTAGAAAACAGGTATAAACACATCACTCATTTGACGCGAAGTGAAAAAATGTTGGTTTTCTTTATACAGCCTGTTTTAAATTTGAATTATTATTATAACAAATTTGAATTCTTAAGAAATATCGAATAAAAATTACAAATTTTGTTTACTTCTGAAAACGGTTTCAGCGAGTGCGCCATAACGACAAAGGTATAAGTGCTTTAAAGAAATATGTGTTGAGGCAAATCAGCTTTTTGTTAATGCGGTTCTGGGTAGGTATAAACAAGGTATAAGTCAAAGTTACTGCACGCTCTAATATGCAAATATGTATGTATGTTGTATGTGCAGCAATACCTGACCTTAAAGTTAATCTGATAGTCAAAATATTGATAATACATACTCTATAAAAAGTGTTTATATATAAATAACTAAAGATTTATATTTCAAATATTTAACGGCTGGTGAGAGGCCAATTATACTACCTTAAAAATAAGTGCAACTATATATGTATGCAGGCACAAGTATGTAAGTTCATATGTACATCTATATGTACATATATACGTATAAATTTAGTTAGGTATATTTAAAAATTATTCAGGTCAGTGTAATCAGAATACATGCTTACTTATATACATAAATATGTTACTTAAATTGCTATATGAATGTACATACATACATAGGTACTAAATATGTGCAAACATATAAGTATATTCGGGTTCGAAATTCAGTAATTCGAATAACAGCCGCATTCCTTTTCTATCTAGTTGCAAAATAATTACATATATACGAACAAAATTAATTCTTTAATGTGCTCTATTTGATGGTAATCGCAATTGCGCTACTAAATCTAACCGTAGGCTGCTGATATAAACTCCAGATGTTTAAACCTTACTCCAGCGAGATAAGAAAACAGTAGCGGCAATAAGCCTCGGAAACGATTTAAGTCCTACGGCATAAGATTTTAAGGTACAATGACCGGTCAGGGCTCCAGGGTATTCGCTCAGTGCCCGCTGGGAACAACGTTGCCACAATAACTTCTATGCCACCCAAGTCAGGAAAAAAGTATGCAGTTTCCTAAAATGTCACAGCTGATTAGGAAGTAGTTCGAGGTGATCACAAGAGAGGTGTTCGTCGACCAGTCAGAGAACATATCGGTACGAGTTGTGTCCATATTACGTGGGACAATCGATACGGGGATACATATTTAACCTTCAATAGGTATTAGCTATTTAGTCGACTGTCTCCTTTATTTCGGCCACCTCTGTGTGAAATACACTGCAGAAGCCGGACAGCCTTAACATAAGATTCTCGGGGGTTGTTGACAGTACATACACGCCTATTTCATTCTAGAAAATGTTAACTGGACATCTTTTTTAGAGTCTACCACTATCTCATTCAATCTTTAGAGATATGTGCGTAGTGAAAGATCCGATCGGGGCCAGTCTCTTTTGGTTTGACGTCGAAGCTTCGAAAGATTGGCAAATATCCACACTCCAAAATACTTGATCTTGTTAGAGAATACAAGTGGAACGCCAGCGATCGAGGGAAGATGAGCACTAGACACTTTATGCCTTAGATATAGTGAACAGGCCAAGCTTCAACTTGGCCAAATTAATAGTAAGTGCACAGCTAGCAGACCTTTTAATGAATGATAATTTAAGATTAGATAGAGAGTTCAGAAACATTCCTCTGACGTTGAGTAACATGTCGTCAGCGTAGGCCGTAGCCTCCTTTCCAGTTCGTGCAGGACGTCGCTGATGACAGCGAAAATATGAGAGACGAACATTCCCTGCGGGCCTGCAGAGGCACTGCACCACTCTAATAGGACAGTTCTATCGTGAATCATGCGGGGCTAAGCTTTCAGCTCGCAGTCAAGAAAAATTCAGTTAGGCTTATCGCAAATCTGACTAAACACCTATGTATGTGTATAGCTATTTTTCTGCTATAAATAAATGTGAATATATTAATAAGTACGCTTGCACTCGCGTATAAAAGAATTACTAAGGTTAGAAAAAATTATTAACCCCAAATACTGAAGCTCAATTTGTTAGGATGATTATGAAAACTACAAAAATTTATTTTTTTGCAATTAAGAGGCTACACGATTACAGACCTTTTTATGAATTTTCTTTAGCAATTTTAAGTATCTAAACTAAATCGATCTGCAGTAAGAGTCCTTACTGGCGTCATCACAGGGCACTGTGCTATATGTAGCACCAATGCTTCTACGGTGGCGAATACCAACAAGTACTCTCTGCAGGGGCTGCCATGATGAGGATGAGGGAATTTGCCACTATCTGTGTAGATCTCCAGATCAACAGACGAAGCGACTCAAGCACTTGGGTTCACGCTTCTTCAACAGTCTGGGCGAAGTAGCAGAGGCGAAACTGTTAGATCTCCTCGGCTTCATCAGGGATAGTAATTGGTTCAGCAAAATAATGACTTAAAAGCTATTCTTTCGATTTAGGTACGTGTCTCCTCCTGACACTCACTAAAAGAGGGCACTCACAATGGGCAAATCTGTCTTTTCGAGTGAAAGTATGAAATATTCCACACACGCCCTCTTAACCTAACCTAACATGCATACTAGACCGTACCAGAAAAAAAAGTACACCATACACCTTCGAATCTAAAGTATTTTTAGAAGGCAATTTCAAAAAAAAACAAGTAAGAAAGTCTAAGTTCGGGCGGAGCCGAACATTAAATACCCGGCGCAAGTATTAAATATATGTTTTCCACCTTTCCGAAAGCTACCGCTACATGATAAGCCGGGGTGTATACATTTTAAGTAAATTAGCGTCCTTAAATTTCGAAATATTGAAATTTCAAGCATATCTGAAATTTACCGTTATATGAAAAGCGGCCTNGATTTCGCCCATTTTCAATACCATCCGTCCCACGCCCAAAAGAAGTTCACGTACCAAGTTTCGTTAAGATATCTCAATTTTTACTCGAGTTATCGTGTGCACAGACGGACGGACGGACGGACGGACGGACGGACAGACAGTCACCGCTTAATCGATTTCTCTTTTCATTCTGATCATTTATGTATACATTTGTCTATATTTATCTCGATTCGTTTTGCCTGTTACAAACAACCGTTATGTGAACAAAGTTATAATACCCTTGTGCACAAGTGCGCTCGGGTATAAAAAAAGTTTTTTCTTGCCGAACGTGGGGTCGCTTTATTCGATTTTTCGTCATACTTGCGGGATTTTCAGTCGGATCAGTACTTATGTAGCTCTCTAACGTACCACCGTAATGTCAGTAAAGCTCGCCAAAAATTATTAAGCTTTTGTGATAGAAATATTTCGATTCGAGGCAATTGCGATATTTTTCGCCTGCTTACATTTGTCGTCATAGCTTCGGCGTTTATAGTCGGCTCTAAAAGAATGACGAGTATGTCGATGTTTTTGTCTCGATAAGAAGATATATATATATAAGTATTTTAATAAGTTGTCAGAGTTCAAATAAGTAGTTATAATTGTTAGTTATTTAATATTAGAACACCGATTTGTCCTCCGATAGGCTATGAATTCTGCACTCTACTTTTTCGGAAGATAAATAGCAAGGATCAGTGAATTCTTTGTCTGATTGGTTAACAAAATTGTCAACTTGGCATCTCCATCCACATTATCTTCGCGTATATCTACATACATACATATGTACATTAAAATTTTAGAACTGGATATTTGTAAATTGGTTGAGAGTTCCAGTTTTTCATGGATGTATATAGGAGTCGACGAAAAATGTAAAAAGCGACCCAAGGGATCCTACAAAAATTTTTTTTCCAAATTGCCTTGCAAAAATACTTTCAACTCAAAGGGTACAGTCCAGTGCATAGGTAAATTTATACAATACTGCATTCAGTTCAGAGAAATGCATTTATGTTAATTTATTTAATTCCAATATATTTTAACTGCTTAACTTCCTGCATGTTTTTCATTTTATTTGTAATTTTCCCAACAAAAGTTTATAAAAAACCGTTAACCAATAAGTTCCTATGTACCTACATCTTTTTGCGCGTTATATTAGCTGAACGTTTTTACTAACATAAAATCTATTGAATTTTTCTCACTCTCAATCGTCCGTCTACGCATTAAATATGCAAAATACTTAGCAGCGCTTAAACTGAGAATTCAATTTATTGGCGCGTGCCAAAGGGCACTGAAATGTCAGCACCTGTTTACATACATATAAAATTATATCTACATATGTACATATGTATGTAACATTAGCCATGACAATGAACCATTATAGATATCACTTCAATTATGAACAAGTAAATGTTAGAAAAAGAAAACATTGTATAGAAATTGTGGTGGGTCATTAACTCGTTATCATAACATAGCTTAGACACTCAATCACTCACAAAACCAACTTTTTGTTTTTTTTTCAATTTTTTTTTTTACTTCTGCGCGATTCTTTTGGCATTAGCTGTCACTTAAACTCTCAATTACCGCATTTATAAGAAACCACTTGCGGAAATGCAGTAAAAACACTTGGCACCATTGATCGCATGTAATCACAAAGCAATTGTTTTCATTTTTATTTTTTTTATTTTTTATTTGCAACGATAACTTTTTTTTTATCTTCCTCACTTACTTGAATGCATTTCACTGCATAGAAATGCCAAAATGAAGATTTTGACAAGTTGTTGTGAGCTTTCGGCGCGATGCATTTTCCAGCAGCTTTCGGTAGTAGCACTCCTCGGAAGTTATGTGGATTGAATTCAATTTTAAAACCGAACTCAGAGCGATTCTTTGGGCTGTCAGAGCTCCACCACCGATGTTCCGCTTTGTAGCGGCGCCAATTCTCAATTGATTTTCTAAATTCAACAGCAAATGGAATGAAAACGACAGCAGCAGTGACGCCGACGGTTTTGCTTTACTTTGGACAACACATACGGCTATACGTCGATATGTACATACATATGTATGTAAGTATGTATGTACTAGTAAGTTCGTACTTACTTACCTATCCATAGATAAGTACCTAACTATACATATATATTTGTATGGATGTACACTAGGGTGGTCCAAAATAAGTAAAGTCGGAATTTTAATGCTCTGACCCCCCAAGATTGCACTATATCGAAAAACTATACTCCTGTTTTTTTATTTTGAAATCAAAAAATATTTAGAGGTCCTCAAAGCGCTCAAAGTTTTCCATATATTTTATATGGGGAACAAACAACTTTTTGTAGAAATGGCATTTAACTCTTGAAAATCAATATTTTTCTTCGAAAAGTTGCATTTTTCCCATATAAAATACAAGAAAAACTTTGAGCGCTGTGAGCGCCCTCTAAATATTTTTTTATATCAAAATAAAAAAGAATGTATATGTTTTCGGTATAGAACAATCCTAGGGGGTGAGAGCATATAAATGCCGACCTTACTTTTCTTCTCATGCACTTTTGGACCACCCTAATGTACACACGTACGTTGTTCTATTCATATTTATATTCCGGAGCGGCTCAGGCTAATAGTCCCTTAAACTGATCATAAATTTTTTAATCACCTTTGATTATTGATCGTATGATATGTATTTAAATAATTTATTTATTAACTATAAATATTTTTTTTACTAAGGTACAGCGTATACACTGACTCTTCCATATACTAAATGAAATACATACTACATACATTGCATTAGACTGTGCCAGAAAAAAAGTTTTCCGTACACCGTCTTATTATGGCCGAACGTAAGGGTAGTATTCTTCATATCTTCGGCATTTACAGTTGGATTTTAAAGTATGATATGTTTACTGATGTTCTTGTCTCAAAGAGAAAATTTTATTGTTCTAACGTTCAGTGATCTCAAGCACCTCGTTTTAAGTACTTAACCACCGGAACTCCGTTCTTACTACTTTAACGTACCACTCTAATGTCAGTAAACTAAAGCTCGCCAAAAATAATCAAACTTTTGCAAAAAATAATTTCGATTATTCAAGTAGAACTATGTACATATATAAAAAAATAATTTATTGCCGAATGTTGTCACCAACAAAAATGTATAGAGGTTCTAAACTTTTTTTTCTTTTAATAGCCTTACTTTAGCCTTAGCGGTGTATGGCGAACTTTTTTTATATTCCTGTTGGGTGGCACGGCCTAATGTATGTACATATGTACATACATACCAGCTTATAGCTTGCGTACCTGTCATATGGCTAACTTTGTTTTACATAAGTGTCGGTTAACAAGTAAAAGGCATTTCCATCTTCTTTAAGCTTTCGAACAATTTTATATACATATGTAAGAGTCACTCAAAAACAACGGTTTAAAAAGCTTCTTCCGTTTTATACGTTTCGGTCGTTTTATTTCATCGACGACAACCAGAGAGAGCTTTTACTCTACACCCGTCCATGGAAAATAGATAGAAAACTTGTAAAGGCTTTTTCCGCAAGATATCTATATTTTGCTCGTTACAATTTTAAGTAAACCAGTCTCGAGCTTTTTTAAAGCACATAGTATAAACCCTCTCCGATTAAGCATATATAGACATCATTGCCCAATAATGACAGAATACCAGATTGCGCCCATCTGAGAGGATTTTTGAGGCCGGTTTTTAATCAATATAAACCAGTGTTGCCCCAAGATAGAGCTTTTACCCTGTTCCTGCGTCAGTGATGCTCAAAACAGAGCCTGCGGGTGGATCTCTTCAAAGCTTTCTGTAGATTTTATATCAGAGATTCGCAGAGAGAGCTTTAACTCTACGCGCGGCTATATAAAATGTGTAGAAAGCTTAAAAGAGCTTTGCCCGCGGGCAAGGCAGTGCCCATGACCGTTTTATATGGACGCGCACAGAGTAAAAGCTCTCTCTGTGCATCACTTGTCTACGTGCATCGCAATGCCTTCCACTCTTACAGAGCTTTTTTGTATAGAGGTTACGTACGATGTATCAGGTAATCATCTCTAAAACAGACTCTTGCAGAGAAATATTCGCAACGATCGGAAAGTGTAACAGTGAGCCCATAACTAACCATATTTCAGGCGCAAATCTTCGCTATTGAAATCTGCGCCCGCGAATAACTGCATGAGTACCAAAGGGACCGATATTAGCGTCATTTAAAACCGCCAGGTACTATAAAAAGCCCTAGCATCATGCAAAGTGGCATGAAGATCACTCACAACAAAGTTACGTTTAGGGGCCACCGGCTATAGGGTTTTGTTGGCAAAGAAAAGACTGACCTTCTGGAAAAACGTGGAGCCCAACGGCGACTATAGGGTTCAGAGTATTTCCGTGGACCAACCAAAGGATACACGGCGAAGTTTCTAAGGGCCGTTTGCACCATCTCTGGTTAATTCTAACACCCAGTTAAACGTTAATTCTAACACCCAGTTAGAGACTGAGAACTCTGTCAAGGGACTGCACTGTTAAGGTGTCGACTGGCAAAGTAGTAGGTTTTATAGGCGGGAGTATTATAAATAAGTCGTAGACTCATACATCTTCCTCGCTTCATTAAGAGAGCAATCTTCAGTTTGGTCAGCTTTAAATTTGAAAAAGTTAATACATACATGTGGAACTGTTATAAGACATATAAATATATAAAACTAAGCGCCATAAATGCGCGCCCGTTTGAAACCGCACCTGGCAGCGATTTTAACGCGAATACCGCAACAAAGGTAACAACAGCTTTCGTTATTTATGGCTACTATGTAAATATGTATAGCTGACTGAGTTTTACTGCTGTTTCATATTATATGAGCTGTATTTACTAAAATTTTTGTTTTTAACCTTTTTGTTGCTATTGATAGCAGTTATTGCTTATGTCAAATTCGCAAAATACCGATAACGTTTTTTACGTCACAGCAAATATAGTGGGTCTGTGTGGTAAAAAATATGATTACATTACTTCTAATCTATACCGAAAAAAATATAGGCCCACTTTTTTATATTGAAATAAAAAAATATTTAGAGGTCACTCAAGGCGCTCAAAGTTTTCCATGTTTTTTATATGGGGAAAAACAACTTTGCGTAGAAATGGTGTAGAATTTTTGAAAATAAAATCTTCAAGAGATTTCAAATTACAATACCCAATTGTTTCTTTAACCATTTTTTATGGTAACTATATTTTATTGGTCCGCCAAAATCCCCAGAAAATACAATGGGGGACCAATTACAAATCCCTAGTATTAAAATTTTTTTAAATAAACAATTGGATATTAATGTTGGGAGTCTCCTGAAAAAAATACTGATTTTCAAGAATTCTATACCATTCCTATGAAAAGTGGTTTTTTCCCCATATAAAATACATGTAAATATGAGCGCTTTGAGCACTCCTTAAATATTTTTTGGTTTCAAAATAAAAAATATGGGAATATTTTTTCGGTATTGAACAATCCTAAGGGGTGGCGGCATTAAAATTCCAACTTTACTATTTTTGGACCACTCTAATGTACGTATGTATTTACTTGGTCGATTTGTTTAAACTAAAGTTGGAGAAGAATTAACTTCCCCGTTGCTCTCTCATTTCGAACTGAATTATTTTGCATAACAAGCGTCAGAAATTTTTCCTGTACAAACAATGTATGTATGCACATTGATACATACACACTAGGGTGATTGACTCGGTTTTTCCAAACCGGTTTCCACCGGTTTTTTTTGAAATCTTGATTTTTCGTATATCGAATAAACAGGATTTTTTTTTATCGAACACACCGGTTTTTTTTTCATTTCATACAAGCCTTGACCTCTCAATAAAAGTTTTGTGTTTTTCGAAGTTTTCAAGGCTTTATCGAGTTTAATGGAAACTCCTAAATAGTTTTGAAATGAAGTCCTAGGTTATTTGGGGATGAACAGTTTAACAAATTTGATTTCGATAAATGAATGTTTGGCGCTTAAACGTTTTCTACGTGTCGCATTCTGATCTTGATGTTGTAACACAAATGGAGAGATCCATACTTTTACTTCACCTCCGAATAAGCTTTTTCCGCTGTTTGAGAAAAAAAACTTTTTTCGGAAATCAAACCATGGATATCCCGAGTAGCAGTGGGCACCTCTGAGCACTCGACTACGGCGGCAATAGCACTACTCAAAACCGAAAAAAGTCAGAAAAAAAAATGCAATAAAATATTAAAAAATGTAAAATAAGACCAACGTGACTTTTTCACTGATTTTTATTTGGTTTTCTTTTGTTCTAGAAAAAACTTGGAACTTATTTTGCTTTGCTTATTTCTAAATAATTGTTATTGTTAATAGTTTTTTGTAATTTTTGGTCATGAATTTATACCAACATAAGCATTTTCATTGTATGAAAACTTTGTAAAAGGAATCCGTTTTATCCGGTTTTTCCTAAATTTCAACATCAGGCACCAGTTTTTTCAAACTCGAAAACCGGGTTTGAAAAAATTTCGAACAATCGAACACCCTAATACATACATTCATATGCATGGATTTATTTGAATTCGTATTGTTGAATTCACAGAATCTTTTTCGGAAGCTTCAACACTTCAACACTTTCATCAAGAAGTTTCTATTCGATTTTTAATTTCTGCATTTGTATTTCATTGAGGCTGAAATTTGTAATTTTTGTATTCTCCAACCCACTTTAGAGTGCACACTTAATTTGCATGCAAAGCAAACCATTAACGTTTACTTCTCTGTTGAGGAATAATTCAATAGCTTGTATGTACTATGGGGTTCGGTACACGCGGCTGAGTTAGCTTAGATACCTTCAATCGAGCTTGATGATTCAATTACTGTATGTCTGTATGTATATATTTTGTTATTTTTTTATTTTTGTTTTTTCACGTGCTGTCTAAAGACATGGTTCCTTATCAGTATTAATTTATTTATTCATTTAATTTTATGTTACGAATTGAAGTAACTATTTACTAATAAAAAAATGTTCTTAT